GTTCCTTAGCTTACCTCAGCCTCACCCGGCCCCCAAGGAAGCATTACAGTCTCCACGCTCAGATGGCTGTCCCAAGCCCACCCAGGTAATGAGAGGGATCTGGACCAAGGATCCCTGCCTCCAAAGCCATTGTGTCGCCCTGCCTCTTGGGGTCAAAAGTCCCTGTGGAAGGTACCTCGCCCGCTGTAAGCAGCCCCGCTGACTGGCACATTCCTCAGGTGGCTTTGGCCCGGGAACAGCGAAGTCCTAGCTGCAGGAGGGGGGTGGGGGAAGCTGAGCAGAAAAGCCCCAGGTAATGTAAATGGAAACTCTAACCGACAGTCCTGCACCTGGTGTTTTGCATTTCCCAAGACAGTTGAAGGGATTGTGTAGGAAGCTTCACGCCTTGGAGGAAACCCGTCTGTGGCCATCGGGACAGCTGGACTGGGCCCCCGGGGCCGCTTCACATCCCCGCCTGGAAATACAGTGCGGTGCGGGGGCTTATTTAAACGTCACCCCTCGGGTAACCTGGAACCCATCTGGGAGTCTCCCTACCCTCGGGTACAAGCGGACCCATTCCCACAGGGGGCTCCAACTCCCGGCCTGGGCCTCAGGGAGGAGGGGGCCATGGCCTGTTCCCCACAGGCTCCTGGGGAATTAAAGGGAGCCCGCAGGGCCACCTGTCCAGGCTGCTCACTGGGAACTCTGAGCATCCGGCTCCTTCTGATGCCAACTATGCGGGTAGCACACAACCACAGACACAGGCATCACAAGGGAGGCGGTGCTCAAACAGATTACGTAAGCTGCCCGAGGTCGCACCTAACTGGAAGAAGCGGGACACAGAGCCAAGCCTGACTCTGAGGCCCTGGCACTTTCCCTGAGCAGGAACTGGAGCCACCACGGTTTCGGGAAACCAGCCCGCAGGGGTCGCCGGGCATCAGCCACCCTCTGCCACAGAGCACAAGCCTTGGCACTCCGGGGAAACCCCACACACCAGAAGACAAAGTCTGTGGCCTTGAACTACAGAAAGCTGTAAGGCGGCCGTGCAACTGTGCAAATGACCAGAGCCAAATTCCTGCATCAGCAGAGCCGGCCCAGCTGTGTCAGACACACAGACAAGCACGTGCGGAGCGGTCAGGGGCACGGTGGGGCTGGAGGAGGCCTCTGCAGCTGTGCGGGGGCGGGGCCGGTGCAGCCAGCCGGCGTCGGGCCGTGAGTGCTGATGCCCGCCCTAGGTGGCCGCGGAGAACGAGGAAGTAGGGTGGCAGGCCCGGCCAAGACCAGGCCCCACGACACGGCTGCAGGAAGAAGGTGGCCGGGAGGCCTTCCGATCCCAGTCAGAAATTTTCATTTGAAATGAGAGGCGGGTAGAGAGTGCCCTTCAGGGACACAAACCACAACCGTGCTGGATGGAGAGCCAGGACCTCGTGGATCCATGCGTGTCCCTGCAGGCAGCGAGCACATGAGGGGCTCAGAGGAAGACCCCCACTTCCCCATTCTGGTGAGCTGGGCTGCAGTGCCCAGATCTGTGTCCTGCCCCCCTCCCCCCGCACAGTCTGGGTGCCGCGGTTCCCAGGTCCCCAGAAAAGGTATAGCAATATTTGTTTGACTTACCTACTTACCACCTCCCCAAACTAGACTCATGCCCATCACGTGCTCCATTTCAGGAGGCTGCTCTGACTTGACTTACAAACCCTCCTGCCTACTGGAACTCTTTCTGAGAGGCGCCTCGAAGAACAAGAGAGGGCCTGGGGTGCCCGGGTGGCTCAGTCAGTTAAGCATCCGACTCTTGATTTCCTGCTCAGGTCATGATCTCACGGTTCGTGAGTTTGAGCCCCGTGTCAGGCTCTGCGCTGGCAGCTCTGAGCCTGGAGCCTGCTTCGGATTCTGTGTCTCCCTCTCTCTCTCTGCCCCTCCCCAGCTTGCATGCACGCTCTCTCTCTCTCTCTCTCAAAATAAGTAAATAAACTTTAAACACACACACACACAAGCAATACAAACCCTGATGACTATTCCCCAGGAACAAAAAGTTCAAGAACTAAAAAGGCGAAAGGAATCAAGGCCAGATGTTGACTACAGGCAACCTCCAAGTCAACTCATAGCTAAGCTCAGGCAGACAGGACACGTGGCTATCTTTCCCAACCTGTCCCCCCGGAAGGTGCACCTCTTGGCCTCCCAGCCTCCACAACCGTGCCCCTCCTCTCGCCAAGCATGCCGTCCCTGCACGCAGGGTCCCTCGTCACCTGGTGGACTCAGGGGGCACGACTCCCAAAGGGGGTGACGCCCGCTTAGCAAGCAGCCTCGAACTCTTGCTCTGACACCACGGATACATCACCAGGCAAACTGCCAGGAGCGGCACCCGCAGGGGAAATGGGCCAGGCAACATGAAAGCAAGAACAAAACCAAAACTGGGTGGGTTATTTTTATCACACTGTAGACTTGCAGCAAAGACCCAACAGCCAAAGGGGCATCCCAGGCGCCGGGCAGGTTTCTCTCAGCCTCTGTCCCTTCCCTCCTTCCGTCCCTCCAGCCCCCTCCTCAGGAAACCGAGAAAGTGGATCGGGTCAGAGCAAACCATCCCTCATTCTGCCTTCTCCACAGGAAAAACTAATTAGTCGCCAAATATTCGGAATGGGTAATTGCTACCTGAATTAATAAGGGCAAACAGCCGGCAAGAAAACAGTGGTTTACTATTTCTGAGCGTGCGCCTCTCTTCACCCGGAGCCCGAGGCTCTGCCGGGAGGGACGGGCTCTGGAGACACGACTCCCCTGGAAGCCTGCAGGAAGGGTGACGCCGCGGCCCGGGGCTGCCCCTGCTCCCGGGTCACTTCCAACACTGCTGTGGCCGGCAGTCACCCTGTCTCCTCTAACACGCAGCATGCATGTGTGCACATACTCATGCACGTTCACATTTACGCAAACGCACACAGCACACACCATACACGCACACATATATGGGCACTCACACCCGTGCACACAGCACACATGTAAAAGCATCATACACACGCACACACACATGGACAGACGCGCGCACAGGCACATACATACACATGTGCGCGCACACACCCATACGCACACACACAGGCACAAAGCGCACACCAGGAACATCCAAGGGGCATGGAACCAGATTCTCACCCAGGATCTGCTTGCCCCGATTTCCCCCACAAGTTGCCCCAGTTTCCTCAGCTCTGACAAGGGGGTGTGTAGACCACATTGAGGGGGGTGCAGACAGGAGGGAGAAGGGAGAGGAAGAGGAAAGTTGAGGAGACGCCACGGAAGGCTGGAAGAGACCTGCCGCAGCCCCCTCCACCCCACCCCAGCACTGACGCCAGAGTCACACCCAGAGTGCCTCTGGGGAGCCTGCTGAGCCCCACCACAGCCCTGCCGTGTGACCTCAGACACAGCACTTTCCCCCTCCGGGCCTGGGTTTCTGCCTGTGTGCGAATGAGGTGACTCGGTGTGATCGGTGTGATCGCTGGAACAGTTCTGAGGCGCTGCCCTCCAGGGAGGATTCAGTTCAAGCTGGGGATCACCACGGTCTCCCCTGCCCTTGGCCCCCTCCCCGCCCCTACCCGAGCACTTTCCACAGGACTTGTCTGGCACACGGCAGCGAGTAACTTCCGGGGGGAGGGGAGCCCAGGGCTCTCTGGAGGCGTCCCGGTGTCACAGGCAGCTTGGGCCACAGACATCCAGCCACCGACCGTGCTGTCAAGTCGGCCCAGGGGATTCTGGGCTGTGTCTGCCACGGCTGCCCAAGCCAGATACGCTTCCACGTGAAGCTGCCCGGGACGCTGTGTCCGCACGATGCCGACAATCTGTCCTTCGGTTTTTACGTTTAATGACATGTTGTAAACAGCTCTCACGGCTGTGCGTGCAGAGCCCTTTTTCTACCAGACAAACAGTAATTCTCTGGAAGGCTCTATCACAGATCGAACCGAACCCCTATTAAGGCTACTGGCAATCTTCGACTTTCACAAGCATCGCTATAATCATCTGCTTATAGGTACTCGTTCTGGATAAATAAAAAGTTCTCTGCGTGCAAAAAACTACATATATCTTTAAAGGTTCATATCTGCCTGGAAACAGGAGTCCGGCACGTCACACACCAGGCCATCAGCTGCGGCTCCTTCTGGGGCAGGGGATTAGGAAAGAAAACTCAGGCTCTCGGTAAGCAATACTTTACGTTTGCGAAACGGAATGAGTACGGGGGGGGAAATAAACAAAATGCAGTCACTGTCTAAACCTCTTCAGAAGTGGTTTTACCAGAGGGTCTGGATCTGGCAGGAGCCACATAATCACGGAGAGAAGGGAGGAAGAGGGGAAACGTCCGGCAGAGGGAGAGGCCAGGAGCCACCGCTTTGTGGTCAGCTCTCCCCTGGGCTGGCGGGGACAGGACCTGGCTTCGAACCATGCTCTGTGCACTCACCGGGCGCCTGGGTGTTGTTTCGCCTCGGAGGACTTCCATTTCCTTGTGTGTAACACGAGGTCAGCAGGTCAAACGGGCTCAACAGCGAGCACCCGGAACAGGGGGGCCGCCACCCGTGTCTGTCCTGACACCTTCTGCCCTGTTCCGGGTGCAGAGGAAAAGAAAAACTAATCTCACGGCTGCTCCTCAAGTCCTCACTCCCCTCCAGCCTCCCCCAGGGCCCCCAACCCGGTCTCAGGGTTTATGGACCCTGTGGCCTTTCTCCTGAAGAGAGAGCCCCTGACAACACCACGTCTTGGGGCCCAAACGTGAGCACATCTAGAAACCCCAAGATGACTGGGGCACCTGGGAGGGATCCGTCACTTAAGCGTCCGACTTCGGCTCAGGTCACGATCTCACAGTTTGTGGGTTCGAGCCCCGCGTCGGGCTCTGTGCTGACAGCTCGGAGCCTGGAGCCTGTTTCAGATTCCGTGTCTCCCTCTCTCCCTGCCCCTCCCCCACTCATGCTCTATCTCTCTCTCAAAAATAAATAAACATTAGAAATCCCAAGGTGATTAGTAACTAAGAAAGATAACCATCTTTGTCACGAATGATATATGGCAATAAACCTATTGGCCAGTGTTTTTTATTTATTTATTTTTCCAGGAAAACACAGTGAGCCAAGAACACAGAAACATAGCAACCCCAGGCCTGAGCAAGGATGTTCTTAAAAATCCCCATGATGTTTACAGAGTTTAGTGATCCTCCCCCCTCACGTGGACATGCCCGGAGTCAGGAGTCAGGACCCCTGCAAACCCAAACGTGGAGGGAGGCCCGGCAGGCAAGAACCCACAGTGCCGTGGCCTCACACATCAGTCACCCAGCGCTGAGCAGCCCACACCCCCGCCAAGATCCACAGGCGCCCATACCCGGCCAGGCCACTGAGTAATCCCAGCTCACCTACAACCATGTGACCTCAGGAATCAATGACTTCAGCCAAAAGGCCCAGCTTCCCCATCTGTAAGGGAGCGTCTCCTTCCAGGGAGGTCATCAGAGGATCCCACGAGCTAACGTGGACCAGCTAGGGGGACAAGGACTGATGTCATCACATTCCTGCAGGTCTCAGGAGGCTGTTCACATCGTCAGATGAGCTCGGGTCTGTGAAATAGTGTGAGGACATGAAAAGCGGAGGCTCCGAAACGCTCCCTCCACCTGCTCAGCTCCTGCCCTCCCCGCTGGCCTGCCTCCTCTCTGCCCCAAGAGCAGAGTCTCCCTAGTTCCCAACCTGAGAATCAGCTTTTGGCTCTCTCCAGGGAGACACTTTGAAGGCTTCAAGTGCCTCTCTCCAGGGAACATCAAAGACCATGGCACTTCCCACGGCATCCTTAAACCCAGTGACCTGCGAATGTCCGGCCTCACGGCACCTATAGGACATGACCTGACGGCCTCACTTCGATCAGTGAGTCACTGGCCCCCAGACCCCGTGCCCCAAATCCACTGCGAGGGCAGTGAGATGACTCCCCAAATGGAGGGGCTGAGATGCGTTATGCCTGGGATTTGCACCTTTACCCCAATCAGTAAAAAGCTGTGTCTCTGTAAGTCTCTCGTCTGCTTTTTTATGGGTTAATGGGTTAAACATTTTTAATTTTAGAAATAATTGCAAACAACTGAAGAGCCGCTGGCTCCCAGCTCCTGATCTCGCCATGCAAAGGGGACAATATTTTTAGGCCTATTCAAGTTACCTACCCTGGCCACGAATGAAATATTAATGAAAGGTTATGCTTGCAGCCTTCAGAAAATGATCACTCAAGACAGCAATTATATTTTCCCCCTTTCTGTGTAATAAAACTGCACCTCACTGCGCAGTAGGAATTAATAATTCCGAGCCCTGTTGTTACAGAGGCGGGCATCAAAGCGGAAGAGAAGGCATGCCCGAGAGGGAAAACACAAACACGTTTAGACCCACAAAGGAAGTGGGTGACTTCAAAAGAGCAGGATTCTATATTCAGGGCTGGGATCATTTCTCAAGGTCATTAACTGCTCTAGCCGACTGAAAGAGTGGCCCAATTACAAAGCACACAGAGAAACAGAAATTAGAACAGGACATAGCGACAGCCCCAACTCCGGGTCACTCGGCACGGCCCGCAGCCTGGCAGGTACCTGCAGCCAATCGGCCAACTCCCCAGAATCCTTCCAAGGGACTCGAAAACTCAGGACAGCCAACTGCCTTCAGAGCCAACAGCTTACTAGCTTCCCAGGCAATTTCCACATGAGCAGAAAGAGGACACCTTTCTCCTTCCAGCCTGGAAAAGAGCAATAAGGATAGCGGCCGTTTATTGAACACCTACTACTTGCCAGGCAAATACAGTGAGGCAGGAACTCCCATCTTCGTCTGATAGGAAAAAGCACTGAAGCGCAGAGAGATCCGATGACTTGCACAAGGTGACCCGGTAAATGGCGGAATTGGGATGTGAGCTGAATTCAAAGACGGGGAGGGCGGTCTGCGTCTGCCCTGCTCCCCGTTGTGTACCCACGGTCCACGCAGCATGCTGTCTGGCCCACAGCAGGGACTCAAGTAATTCTACTTATTTAACGAATGCGTTAAACTGAACGGAGCATCCACTTTCGGAAGGCAAACTCTGCAACTTGTCAACAGACTTGAAAAGAAAAATCAGTTGTGACTTTATTTTTTTCACACGGAACGCCTCGTGAATCTGGGTGTCATCCCAGCGCCCGGGCCACGCTAATCTTCTCTGTGTTGCTTCCATTTTAGTCTATGTGCTGTCGAAGCGAGCACGAGAAAAAACACTTGTGACTTTCCATACGTCCCAGGGTTCGGGGAACTGGGCTAGGCAGGGGAAAGGGCAGGCACGCAATTTTGCACACCCCGTGACAAAGGCACCCATCACTGCCCCCCCAGTGCAATCTCTGATTTTATCCCCGGTAGGGTGGTATAGGGTGTGAAGCAATTAGGGTTTTATTTTGTTCTGCGACAATGTGGAACTCAGAAATTTTTCATGACGCTCCCTTGAGAAACCTTGGGTGACCACATCAGATCATGCCCTGGCCCTCAGGGTGTGGGGGCTGCCTACCACCCTACAGCCCTTTAGGTAACTCTGGGGCAAATGAGAAAACCTTACGGCCTTGTCTTAGAGAACAAGGTCACAGGTTGCAACGGAACAGATATGTGGGTAGCTGTGACGTGGCCCAGATCATGTGGCCTGGAGCAGGGTGCCCAACAGGCAGGAGAGAATCTGCTGACCCTACCAGAGGTGGGAGAGCTGCTGAGGCAGGGGGAACAAAACTGTCCTGGGGTCACAGAGGTGGGGGTGAGGCCTTCCCCTTTGGCAGGGAAGAGCCGGGGTTCCCAAGAGCTGGGCTTGTACAGAGAAGGGCCTAGGGAGGCCAGGAAATGGCCAGCGGGGTGATGGGGCCGACTGCCTGCTGGGTGGGTTCTTTGGGCCCCAGGATTCTTCTGGAAACTGCAGCACCTCTGTGTACATGGGAGGACCTGGGGCAGCCCTTTGTGAACCGAAAGCCAGGAGAGGGGGAGAGGATGTGAGACGGGGCTTGGAGAGGCACTCAGAGAACTCACCCGCTCTTCAAGCAGAGGGAGTGCGCTGGGGTAGACTGAGTATTCCTTAAAGCAGACAGGCCGAATGACAGAGCCAGGCTGGTGAGAGGGCTAGCAGACAGCAGCCAGAGAAGGGACAGCCATTTGTTGAGTGTCCAGTAAGCGCTCGGGGCCGAATACAATGCCAGAAAGCACAAACACAGCCCCTGCGGATCAAGCGGTGAACAGACATGTCAGTGCCTCCCGGGTACAGCCAGATGCAGCAACAAAGCCCCAAGTCCCGCTGGGGAATCGTGAGAGAGCCACATGCCACAAAGGGCTCAGGTGAAGTGGACTGCGGCCCCGAGACACCGCCAACCCAAGGTCCCTGGAGGGAAGCAAGAATAACACCAAGGCCAGAGGCACCTGCTGGAGGGAAAGTTGGAGAAAGGATCCCAGCACCTCCAGAAAAGGGCCAGGGCGCCTGCTTTTTCTGACACCAAACGGATCCACTGACACTTATCCTCCTTGGTCACAACATGGTCCCAGAGCCCAGAGGTGGCAAGCCCTTCCACCCCCACCTTCCTCCTGCCCTTGCTTAACCTCTTAGTCCTTCCCTGCTCAGCAGGACTTGGTCAGAGAAGCCACACGCAGGAAAGGCACAGTGGCAGAAGAGAGAAAGATGGGTGGCAGGTGGCCAGTCAGCCCTGGGACAGAGCAGCCTGAGGACGCCATTTACAGCATAACAGAGTTCCCCTAGGAAGCCCCCAGGGCCGTCACTGGCCTGCTTGACCGGCTTCCGGTCAAGGAGGCTCAGGACAGGCATGAGAGAGCAGGCAGGTCCACGCAGAGCCGCTGGACGGATCGCCACCGCAGGAGCTGAGCCAGGGCTGGGCTCCCTGGGTGGGGACAGCCTGACTGCGGGCGGTGGCCAGTGCTGACCACAGATGCCCCAGCCTTCACGTGCAACTGAGTGAGTGGCATCTGTGTGAAGAAGTGGGAATGTTCCAAGAACCAGATCCTCCTTCCCTCTTCCAGAAAATTGAGGTCATTTTCCAGGAATGTTGAAGAAGTCGGAGCTGCCTTCCGCAGCCCTGAAATACAGGGCACTGTCCCAGTCACAGGTCCCCCAGCTCCTGTTCTGAGGGCCGGCAGTCCCGAGACGCGGGGGGCCCGGGCTGCCACCACCCCCACCAGCCCCAAATCGGTAGGAAAGAGCCTTTCCTCTGCGTGTTGGAGCTGCTTCCTCCTCCCCCGCCCCAGGCCTCACCCAGCTTGGGGACTCAATGCCTGAGGACAGGATAGGGGCACACCTGCGCTGTGGGATGTGGGCCTGAGGGGAGAGGCTCGGCTCGGGCCCTAGCGGGGAGGAGGCCCCACTCCTGCCCTGGAGATGCCCCCTGACGGTGTTTTCTCCACCTGCTCACGGCCATGGGGAAGGGGCGCTCTGCCCGAGGCACGCGGGCATCACACACTCACGCGTTCGTCCCGTAACACGCCCTGGATGCCTCACGACGCGCGGTCTTAAAACAGAAGCGGTCTCAGAGCTGGGGGGGGGGGGGGCGGGGAGACTGGTGCTTACCCGACCCAACGCAGGGTGATGGCCAACCCAGGTCGGGACGGGGACAAGCGCCGGCGCGGGCCCACAGGGCGCAGAGGGGCATCCGCCCAGGACGGAGCGCCGTCCCGGGGTGCAGAGCAGGGAAAGGGAGAGAGGGTCCGCGGCCCGCGGGACCCCGGGGCTCGGCTGAGGGCGCCTCTCTAGAGCCTGGATTGAGGAAGCTGGGGTCAGAGCACCAGACAGGAGTCCCTGTTGCTGAATTCCCCTCGCAGACATCAGAGGCCAAGAGGAACACGCACTCGAGGCCACCTGCGCCGGCCCTTCCAGCTGGGTCAGAAAAACCGGTCGCCGCGTCCGCAGCGCGGGCGCAGGCGCAGGTTCCGCGGCCGGACCCGCCCCCCACCTCTCACGGGAAGAGGCGGCGGGCCCCGGGGCGGGCCCGGGGCGGGGCTCGGAGAGGCCCCGCCCACCCCGCGCTCGCTGCGCCGCCCGCCCCGCCCGGGTTTCCACCTGGTGAACCTCCCCCCCTGGTCTAAACCACACCCTCGCGTGCCTGCCTCCTGGCATCTCCTGTAACTCAAAATCACCTCTTTTTAAATCCCGTTTCTTTGCTCAAGACTTTTTTAGAGGAAGCCTTTCGTTATTCCTGGACCCAGATATAATTTTTCTCTCTTTTAATCACCCCACCTCCACACCCCCCCTCAAAACCCTACCCCCACCCTCGCAACTTGTGCAAACCTCTAACTCGGCTGATCAGACTCTCTGTGCTTCAGGCAGATTCCCCGGGGCCGCCCTACCGCCGGACACTGGGGGCTCCTTGAGGACCGTCTGTGGAATGGAATGGAGAGGACTCGCATCCCTTCCCCCGCACGCAGTTCCAGCTTCACACTGAGCCTTCTTCCCCTGCCGACTCTCATGACCCAGAGTAGGAACCCCGGGCCCTGCCTTTGGGTTGAAGTTTCCTCCGCCCTGCCTTGCGTTGTCCTCTGGCTCCTGGAAACCGCCGGGCTTGCCTCCCAAGTGCAGTCTTGGAGGGCATTTCCGCTGGTCTTTGGGGCACCGGACGTGTGCTGGGTGTTAGAGGACCAGTAGAGCCGTAAGACCCCGTTGGTCCGGCGCCAGGGTGTGCTGCAAGGTGGGAAGACCGCAACCCTTCAGGGCAGGCAGGCCAACTCTGCCTGCCACACACCATGATTGTGCTTAGGCAACGTCCCTGAGCCTCAGTTTCTTCAACTGTAAAATAGGGACAATAAATAGCTATCTGTAGACTTCCTGTAAGGATTGAAGAAAAGCGGGGGCACTTACGGGCTGTCAGTACACATTGGCCATTATCGGATACCCAGTGCAGACTGGAGATTCGGAACACAAGCTCTGGACCCAGATTACCTGAGCCAAACCTTGCCTCCACCACGTGTTTACTGAGTAACCTTGGCTAAGTTTCCTCACCTTTCTGTGCCTCGGTTTTCTCATCCATGAAATGGGTATAATATGCTTAACAGTCACACAGTTTCTGTTTAGGGGAGATGAAAAGTTTAGGAAATAGTGGTGGGGGCTGCAGAGCACTGTAAATGTAATTAATGTCACTGACTTGTCACTTCAAGTGGTTTCAATGGACATTTTTATGTTACGTATGATTTATCACGATTTTACAAAGCTAATAATGTAATCTACCAAGAAGCAATGAATCATATGATGTGGATTATGTCTCAATAAAACTTTTTAAAAAATAAAAATACGTGGAGATAATATTTGGTGTTCAAGCCCTGAGTTAGGCTCTCTGCTGTCAGCATGGAGCTTGCTTTGTATCCCCTGGACCATTTGGATCTCTCTCTCTCTCTCTGTCTCTCTCTGCCCCTCCCCAGCTTACACAGGCCAGTTCTCTCTCTTTCTCTCTCTCTCTCAAAAATGAACATTAAAAAATTAATAATAATAATAATAATAATAATATATCTACCTGATAGGGTTGTGGGAAGGGGTTAAATGAGTCTGTACAGTACTTAGAACAGTGTCCAGGACTGTTGGGAAACACTCAACCAGTGTTGGCTAGCATATCAAATATACATCATCCATCATTTAATTTAATCTTTATAAGAACCCTACAAGTTAAAAAGTATTGTTACCTGTTTTATGGGTGAGAAAATTGTTGATGGAGGCACACATACCCTTCCTATCAGCCACTGGTCCTGTTTCTCCCGAGAACCCTCGTATTAGTCCAGAGACTAATACAAGCTGCAACCTTCCCGGTCCATTTGGAACCCGAGCGACCCGCTCGCCGTTGCCACAAGCCCCCACAGCACCAGAGCACCTGAAATGTGCCCTCGGTCACACACCTCAGCAGCAAGAGCTCAAAACTCCGTCGCTTTCCTGAGGAAGGAGAAGCACAGCTGGGTTTGGGGATCTGTGAACGTTTGGGTTTTCTGGGGCCTTTTGCATTTTGTTTTAGGATCCTTTTTCATTACTGTTATTCAAACCACACAGAAATGTCTGGAATTTCCACTTCTAAGTTGGCCGCAAGTCACCTGACATGGACGGTGCAAGGTGACAATTGAAGATACTGACATTTGAGAAGCCATCGTGCTCAGAAACAGAAGGAAAGGTGGCCGTGTTGAAGACGCCCCGGAAGTGATCAGGTTCCTGGCGACGGAGTGCGGAACTTGGTCCCCCAGAGATGGCACTGGGCACTTCTAGAAGAAGCTTTTCCTTCATGATACCAGCTCCCACATCCCTTCTTTTTTATTTTCCCCTATGTTTTTCGTGTGTGGGTGGAGTTAGACTTCTTTTTTACTCTTTTTGTAAGTGTAACTTTATTTTTATTTTTTTACAGTGTCGTATTAGTTTCAGGTCTACCGTCTAGACGATTCCCTACATCACCGGGTGCTCATTACGGCAAGCACACTCCTTAACCCCCATCACCTGTTTAACCCAAATCCCCACCAACCTCCCCTCTGGTGACCAGCAGATTGCTCTCTGTAATTAACAGTCTGTTTCTTGGTTTCTCTCTCCCTCTCTTTCTTTCCCTTTGCTTGTTCCTTAAATTCCACATATGAGTGAAATCATATGGTATTCCCACACCCCGTCCTCAACACAGCTCTGAGCTCACAAACAGGAGCCTGGCCCTCAGCTGCTGGCAACACAGGAGGAGACGCTGGGCTCCAAGAAAGGGGCTGGCAGGTCTCAGAGGCCGAGGGGCAGGAGGGAAGGCAGCGAGAAACGGTCCACCCCTCTGTGCATGTCCAGCTTTGCCTGCCTCTTCCTAAAGTCGAATTCACATTGGACCCCTGGGGACGCCGGGGTAGGTCTGGGCAAGCCACAGGGGTCACAGTGCCAAGGGTCCCGGAGGCAGGATTCGAGCCAAATTCAGAAGACAGAGCAATGGGTACAGAGCCAGGGGGACTTCTGGCTGGTTCGTTTACCACTCAGAACAAGCCTAGGAGTTGAGAGCCGCAGGGCAGAGTAGAGAGGGGCTGCAGCAAGGGGGTGGGGCAGAGCCTGGGCGAGGTGGTGGCGGGTGAGCAGCCGTCCACACCGACGTGGGTGGAGTCAGAGTCAGCCAGGGGCCAGGCCGGACCCCACAGGGGCCGCGAAGGCGGTCCTGGGTCAGATCACCCCCTCCAGAGCCAGAACAGCTCGTTTCCAAGACCGGGCATGGAAGAGCTCAAGAGAGCCAGCCACAAATCTTAAGGCCACCCCAAATTTGGGATGGGTGTGCCGCAAAACCCAAAGACGAGTTTGGAAGCTCAAAATCCTTGTCAACTCTACCCACTTTTGCCGTAAAGTGAGAAAACAAGGGGTGAGGGCAGACTCCGCACTTGGCGCTGCGGCAGGAATAGCAGGGTCTCCCTGGCTGCCCGGAGGCCTGCTCTGGGGCTGGGACCCCAGGTGTGGACACCAGGCCGCCCCAGGCAGACGCCCAGCCCAGCTGGAAGGGCACATCTGACCCTCCGAGGCTGCCGGCTTTACTCTGGGGTGAACCCGATCAAGACCCCAAGGAGTGCAGCGTGCTGAGTGCGCACCAGGGAGGGGAGGAAGTGAGCGGTCCACCACCTCCTCCCCCCCCCCCCCCCCGGCCTTCCGGGGGGGGGGGGGGCCTTCCCCAGGTTCCTGGGGAACCTGGCTTTCCCCTAAAGGCTCTGCCTGCTAGAAGGCTGCCAGGCAGGATAATACCAGCGGCACCTCCACGGCACAGACACCCTATACTCCCAGATCCACCCCGTCTCCCGGGTCCCAGCTCATTGTCTCACTCAAGGTGTCCTCCAGCAGTGACAAATGTCACCATAGCTGCCAGCCCGCCGTAGCAGGCCCCAACCATGAGTGCCAAGGAACAATGGCAGGGCTTTGCAGCAAGCCTGGGTGCTGCAGGGCCCAGGTACAACCAGGGGAAGCCCTCTGGTTCCCTCCCCGAAGCAGGGTTTTCGTCCTGAGTCCCGCCCGCCTCCCCCAGTTCCAGTCGCAGAGCCAACAGCTCCGTGATAAATACCAGTTTGGCACACTGCGCTAAATGCCTAATCTCTCCACTTCTTGAACCAACTTGGTGTAAGGCCATCTACGTTTTACAGATTTGGAAGCCAGAACCCGGAGAGCCAGCCAGTCAAAGGCAGAGCCTCGTTTGAAGCCAGGTCCACCTTTCAGAGCCTCGTACCCCTCCCCTTAGAGCTTCTGGCTTTGAGCAGCCCTCCTCACCCTCCTCTGCTCAGGGTCCACACTGACCCCCGTGGCTTTCCCAGAGCCTCACGGAGTCCCACAGGCCCTCAGGTCAAAAGCCTCCAAAAGAGATCAACCAGAACAGTCTTGCAAGCCAAAGCATGACTAGAAGGAGAGAAGAAAGGTGCCCGTGGCTCCGTGCTCCCTTTACCCTCTGTAACCAAAGTCCAGTCCCCTCTGCTCTTCCTGTCCTGGCTCACTGGGTGATCTCACTGTTGTTATCCCTCTTTCACAGACAGGAAACTAAGGCACAGAGAGGCTGCCTGGACCACCCAGGGTGTTAGTAGTGCTAAGCCCCAGAGCTGGGACTTGAGCCCAAGTCACATGGCTCCAGGCCTGTCTCCCCAGGAAGAGCATCGCCTGGTGAGACCGATCTCAGTAGCCATCCTGCCTGCAGGACAGCCTGTCTTCCCTCCTCCAAAGCACAAAGCAGCTGGGCCATGCACACTGACTGCTTCCTGCAAGGAAGGGGGAGGAAGGATGGCCGTGTGAAACCCCGAAGGGCAGTGTAGTATCTTTTGGACTCTAAGAAATTGTATCCTCTTCTACCTACTAGGAATAGTCCTGGAAGAGCCAGGATGGCCGGCTCATTGATCTGTGGACTCACGCTGGTCTGGGGGACGAGGTTGGAATACGCACCGGCCGCGGCCTCGTAGGACCATTAGGACACACGCTATAGCCCATTTCCTACAATCCAAGAAGAAACCCGCCCAGAGCTGGCAGGCCACCTGGCTACAGAAGAA